GATGGGCACGTAGGACGGTGGGGTTGGCATCTGACCACATATTCTCTCCATTGTGTAGCCCAAGGACAGTCTGAGAGAGATGACGAAGGGGACTTGGAGCATTTCTGCGAGCAGGTCGACGCAGGGGATCATGGGGTCAAACAGGAACGTGTCGAACTCGGCCGCTTTCAGAGTGGTCAGCAGCTGCTGGTTGCGCAGCATGGCGCCGCAGCCGATTCTCTGGAACGCTTGGATCCTCAGAGATAAATCCGTAGTCTTGAGGATCATCTGCAGCCTGGAGGACGTGTGCGCCTCGTGCATCCACAGGTGGATCATCTCCTCGGAGAGCGCGTGGATTTCCTGGGAGTTCATGGGCACGTCGAAGGCGATGAAGTCGAAGCGGCTGTCGTGCTCAATGGACGGCGATTCTGACATGACCAGCACGCTGACGCTGTGGTTCCTGTCCAGAAGCTCCTCCAGGATCACTCGCATGTTGTGCCAGTGGCTGTACTCTCCGGGCACCGCCAGCACTTTACCGCCCCGAGCCGAGCCGAGCAAGCAGAGCAGCAGCGCCAGGCGGAGGAAGAGCGGCTTCATCGTACCATGCATTGTCCACTTTCTACAGCTCTCTCTCTCTCTCTCTCTTTCTCTCTCTCTCTCTCTCTCTGTCTCTCTCTCTCTCTCTCTCTCAGGGTTTCACTTTCTTCACCTCACTCTCTCTCTCTCTTTCTACTTTCTCAGTCTTTCACGTTCTTCACCTCTCTCTCTCTCTACTTTCTGTTTTTCACTTTCTTCACCTCTCTCTCTCTCTCTCTCTCTCTCTCTCTCTCTCTCTACTTTCCCAGTCTTTCACTTCCTTCAGCTCTCTCTTTCTCACTCTGTCTTCCCGAAGATCACCGCCCGGCCACAGTGGCGTTTTTTTTGAAGGGGGATTCCACCAATTTTTCAAAATTTCTGAGCACGTCAGTCCTCGCTCAGCCATTCAGGGTGGTTTGATGTGAAACGGTTCATTGTAAAGAAACTTTCTGTGAGGGAGCTTTTAGAGGTGGACGTCTGGTTCCTATCACCACCACTGGGAACAATTTTGACTCTGTAAGTTTGTCTAGAACAGAGCATTTCACACCAAACAGCTCAACCATTTAATTTTGTAGAATTTTCGAAAAATCGGTTGAGTTCCCCTTAGGTGGGCGCTTTACAGCAGACCGCAGTGCAATCCCTGCTTCGTAACAGACCGCACTGCCTTCGGGTTTACGAGGCTGAAGTGGTCTTTCTATTCCAGTTTTCCATTACGGTGACTTTTCCAGATTTCTCCATAAGTCAGTCGCTAAGATGGAAACAAAGCCATTCAGAGCGGTTTGGTGTTGAAGTGTTTCGTTCTAGGTCAGGGTCGGCACAACAAATGTTAAGAAGAAACAAAAATCAAGCCACCCTGGGAGCCACAACATTTTATGTCCATTTTATTGGAGTAGCATTTTACTGTAAACATGTCTCAGTGTGTGCTAATGTGCTAGTACAGGATAAAAAATAATGTAAACGAAAATCCAGACTTACTTTGCTCTAAAAAGTAGAAAGTTTCTAGTAAAATGTTTCTCAGTGTTTTATTTACGAGGCTGGAGCAGAGAACCTGTAGAGAGGAGAATCACCAGAGCTGGTTTATGAGGAGCCTCTTCCTATTTCCCCCATTATATCAAAATCAGGACAATGAATGGGAGTAAATGCAGCTCAACGGCTAAAAACGAAAAGTTAAAATATTCTTGCTTGGCCAGAAATTTCCTTTAATTTTAGAAAGTAGAAGGATGTATTTCACTTAAAAAAAGCAAAGAAAACTCACCAGCAAACGGGTTTTGGGCAGCAGAAAGCTGGCATTACTGCTACTGAGTGCTGATTGGTTGGCGAGCGGAGCGGCTCGGTGGCTGTTCGCGCTCAAACGTACATGAGGCGCCGTTTTGAACTCTATACTTGAACTATAACTCGAGTTTAAAGTCTCTTAAAAATATAACAGCAGTGTTAAAATGTTTTATGCTGTTCGGTGTTCAGGAAATGATTGTATTCTTTTACATTAAAAATGTTTAAGCATTTATAAACTATGATTTTGCTCAAATGCTCCATCTTAACCCATTCACTTTGGACTCGCTCAGGAGCGCCCTCTAGCGTTTTTTTTTTTATTGAAACACATCCTTCTACTTTCTAAAATTAAAGGAAAGTTCTGGTTCAGTGATTAGAAACTCTTTTAACTTTTTGTTTTTAGCTGTTTAGCCCCCTTCGCGCCCCCCCCATTCATTGAGGACTTGCTTGCGGGTGCCCTCTGGCGTTTTGCAGTCATGTTTTTGATATTACGGGGGAAATAGGAAGTGGCCAGGCTCCTCATAAATGGGCTCTGGCTGGAGTCAGCTTGTCATTCGCCAGCTTCTTATTTTTTAGCTCCACCTTAAATAGTGCAGCAGTTACATTCTGGCACCTTTTTAGTGTTTGACAGTCTCTCGTTATGGATTAAACGTGTCAGGAAACCAGCTGCAGTGCTTATAAATGCAAATAAGTCTGTCAAGTCTTCTCTAAATGATCAATGTTCGTCTTAAATCTTTCTTTTCCTTGCCATTTCATTAACTGCTAGCTAGGTGAGATTGTTGTCTGTGTTGCTGTGACCTGCAAGCTGTGCCCCAAACTTCAGGGTTAAAGGGTGAATTAGCAGTTATACACAGTTATACTCGAGAGTTTAAGATGCTTTATTGTTAAAACTGTGTTGGAACTGTGTGTTAGAACGATCAGCAAAGCTTTATTTTTGCTGCTTAGGAGGATTCATTTATTTTTCAGTTATCTGATTCTGCTGTGGAGCCACAAGTGGGCAGTAAAAGAGCACATGTGACTCCAGAGCCATGTTGCCGACCCCTGTTCTGGGAAAAACTACACTAAAAAAGCAAAGAAAACTCAGCTGTGTGTTTCCTTTTTTCTACAGCAAAAGATGCATTACTATTTTTACCATCCTGAGCATTACATATAAACACTCAGAGTACATGTGGATAGTAAACAAAATGGCCATATTTGTGTTGTAGACATTGTGACCCCTGGTTCGTGTCAGCACCACTGTAAAGTCTAACTTTCTCTGCAATGAACCATTTCACACCAAGCCACTCTGAATGACTCTTTTTACATTTCAATGATTGAATTATGCATACCTTTTGAAAACTTGGTGTAATTTGACTTTAAAAAATGCTTGAGAATGTAGAAAGAGTGCTAAATGTGTCCCACTTCATCAATATTGCATCAGTCATCAGTCAGTTTTAACTAATGCTTGTAATTCATATGACTGGAGATACATTTACAGCTCACTGGTTTTTGGCAGGAGCTGTAATCCACTGTTATAAACACAGATACGCAGCATTCTTGTGCACAACACATTCAAGTCCTTTGTAAGAAGCTCAGACAGCCTTGAAGAGTTCCTGTCTGTACTTTAAGTGGTTACTTTTCAACAGTTATCATTTACCGTGTGCAGCTGAGAGTTCCTTTCTTACAACATAACATTAATGTCCTTTCTTTTCTGTGTTGAAAACACATAGAAAGCTGTTTGTTTCTTTTTTTGCTGTTTGTCTATGATGAAGTAACCAGTGGCGTACCAACCTTTGGAATCCTTTCTAAGAATATGACATCAAAATTTTATTGTATTGAAATTTTATTATATTTGGAATAAACCTTTAGACTTTGACACTCAAGCATACTAAGATTCAAGTCTTGTCATTGTGAGTTTCTGAACTATGAACTATCAGATTCACATTAAAGGATAATTCCACCAACTTTTCAAAATTTCTGCATAATTTAATTGTGATGATGTAAACAAAGTAATTCAGAGTGGTTTGGTGTGAAATGCTCTGATCTAGAGAAACTTACAGAGTTAGAATTATTCACAGTGGTGGTGATAGGAACCAAATGTCTGAATAGTTTAATGCCTCTAAAAGTTCCTTCACAGAAAGTTATTACATGATATGTTTACAGATCTACTACCTGATGTCTGAGACATTGTTTTAGGACAGTTTTGAAAAGGTTTTTTTTCTTTTTGCTCTAAGATGTATTTTTTAAATCAGTTCAAGGTGGGGAGGTACATGTTGGGCATTATAATGCAAAATAGTCATCAAAGAAAAATTATTCTCAGATTTACCACTATTCTATCATCATCATTCCATAACATATAAAAACTCTGGGTTCACCCCGGTTGCTCTCACCACTGTAAAGAAATTTGAGGTTTATTGTAAGTTTCCCTACAATAAACCGTTTCACATCAAACCACTCTGTATGACTTTGATTACTCATCTGACTGACTTATGAAGAAATTTTGATTCAAAGCAAAGGTTGAATGAAAAAACATAAGATGTAACTATGATAGAACAGCTTAAAAACACTGAACTGACCTATCTGAGAACTGTAGGGGCGTGGCTAACGAGCAGCTTGATTGACAGCTCTTTGTCCTACACTCCCAGCCTGCTCTGCTGCTCACAGAACGGCATTAGTGGTATATTATGCTTAAATTTATTTATGATTCTTCTAAAAACTGAATTGTGGTCATATTTTGTTTGGTTTTATCAGTTTTTAGGTTTGTTGTCATTCAAGCTGCAACTATGTAGCTAATATTACAATTCAGTTTATCTTTAAAAATACATAAAACAGAGCAGACACTTTCAATGGATGAATTAAATGCACATATAAATGCCCTAAAGAATCAAAAAATTAAGCTGATTTGACATTTGCATAATCCAAATTTCATTTTTATCCTAAACAAAACACGGTACAAGATATGGATAAAATCCCTTTGACTGTTGTCGAGAACAGTGAAAATGATATATAAAACGTAATTACTTTACACTGTGTTGGAATCGCTGAGAATCTAGGATTTAAGTTCACTGGCCCACACTGCTACAAACAGTGAAAACCCTGAGGAATGTATGCTGTACACTACAATACAGCACATTAGACTTTAAACCAATGTGAAAATATCACAGTAGTCATTAACACAGTGATGTTCATTCAGTTCTTCACTCTTTTTTGCTCTTTGCTGAGGTCCTTCTGCAACATTTACGGAAGAGCCAAGCACACGATTTCACAAAGATGAACGTGACCAGAGCGACTATGGACAGCAAAAAGGCAGCGACGTCCAGGCAGTGGTACTGGTACCAAGTGAGGTCATGGGCCGCCACCCTCAGGTGCTTGGCCCCCTTGTTGCGCATGACAAACTCGATCCAGAAGACAGCCTGGTCCAGCGGCTTCATCGGCTGATCATGGTGGATTCGGGAAAGCCTCATGATGCTCTCTTTGTACCTGACAGAAGAAATAAAGGTAAACTGTGTTTGTCAAGTGAACAGAGAGGTATTAAGCTTTTTGCACCAATTTTAGAGGCAAATCAGATGCGTTCAGACAGGGTGTTATGTACAAAACACAATCCTGAACATGCAGTTTATGAGCCAGAGTGTGGAAGAACACAGAATGTGCCTCTCTCTCATATGCATATGCATTTGAAGGAGGACCAGACAAAACGTGGGAGGATCGGATAATAAATGGGTGGAGCTATTGAATGTGAACCTGGTTACTCTGCTTGGTCTACTTAATTTTGAGCAACTAGCAGCGACTGGTTTTTTACACATTTTTCTCTGCCACTTAAAATAGGCACAAATTAGCAGTAGTGTCTCTGTTGAAACACTTCCTTTAAAAACAGCAGACGCAAGCCTTGAATGTGATGTGATTACATGCTTTGCTGATTTTCTAAGTGAATATAAGTTAACACATCCTCTACAGAGAACACATTTTAAAGTACAATTACTATTTATTTGCTGAGCTTAACATATTTAAAATAACATCATCAACTGCAGCCTGTGCAAAAAACAAACTTAAATGTGCAAATGTTAGTGCACAGTTTCTACTTATTCACTGAGGTTAGCATATTGTGAAAAAACAATTACAGTACTTTTAAATTTACACTGAGCACCCTTAAAATAATCTCCATCTTAAAGCATCTGCGTTTAAGAAAAATAAAATATCAACTCACGACGGATTGTTAATAACTTCAGTGAGAGCGTCCTTCAAGTCTTTGGTCTCAATTTTGTTCATTTCAAGCAAAACAGCGGCTCCTTTGGTTTTCATGTGGAACAGATTATCTGGCTGGTCAATAAACAGTGGAATGCCCACCATTGGGACACCATGGTAAATAGCTTCATAAAGACCATTAGTCCCACCATGAGTGATGAAGGCCTTAGTTTTAGGATGTCCTATCAGAGACAAATCATTAGAAATCATCACTACAACAAACTGCTATAGTATATACTAGGATAAAAACCAGTGTATATTAAGGTTCCATGGATTTGCTGGCATCCACAATAACATCTATTTAAAAGTTGTCTTCAAAAACCACATTCAGGAAAGTAACACCATTCTGAACAACCAAACACACCATCAGATGCTAAGATAAGATTTTCTTTTGAGATTTTACCATTTGTTTATACAATTGAAGACGATTCCCCTGCTTTGGTCCAGCTGATTATTTGAGATATTGAGTGAAAACTGACAGCTGGGAACTGACAATCATATTTGACAAGTAACAATCGGCAAGCACATCAGTCAGTAAGGCACTAAAGATTGAGAATCCTGGAATCTGTTTTATTGCTCTTATATAACATTATTTTGGTTGATACAGGACAAATCAGTATTGCATCACAACAGCAATTATAAATGTGTAATTCCATGAGAGATTTTGCAATGTTGTTTGTGTTTCAGACCCCTTTCCAAAGCGATGAATCTGATGACTGTGAGCGCACTGAAAGAGTATTCAAAGAGAACTATACTTCCTGCAAGAATAAAAATTTGTTAAAGAACGTGTCTGCTGAGGATGTGAGTGAATGATCTACTGTTGTCATCTTCCATCACTGTAATGGTGATTTTGCGTTTGAGACCCAAACATTGAGTCTGACCTGATCATTGAGTCTGATTTGATTTGATTTGAAGATTTTGACCTTCTTTTTGAGCCTGTGTGTGACATTAATACGTAAAGACATATGATGTGGTCTGCAAAACCTCACGAAAACCGACCTCTGAAATTATTATTTCAGGCTTTATAGGGCAACTCGCAGCAGATCACACACACAATACTTTAGAGTGATTTTTCCTCTAAACTTAGTAATGCTAATTTTTTAAATTTTAACAAAGAAAATCATGCATAGTGCAGCCTTAAAATTAGTATTGGTATCTGTGACAAGATTGGCATTTGGTTGGGCTCTAAAACACACTTAAATGACAAAACTGTACCTAGTAAATCATTCTGGGGAATCCAGTCATAGAGTCTTGTATTTGGAGCAAGAGTGTCTGGTTTCTCTCCCGTATACCGCCACAAGACCTGTACTTAAACACAGAATTGATGAAGTAAACCATCACAAAACATCTCTTTTTCAATAAAGGATATAAGATTAAACAACACTACTACATGCAAGTGCTATGGATGGCACTTTGCTTACAGCATTTAGGCGATAGTACTTAAAGAGTGCACAACTAAACTAGAAATTTTATAAGTAGGGGCAAAGAACAGTACAATAAAATCACGTATCTGCAGGGTTGTTTGTCTAGTCTAATTATAGTTTTTATGGAGAATAAACACTGGTTGGACTCATGAACTAGCCTCATATCAAGATGGCTTGTAGACCTTGAGACGGCTGGAATATTGATTTTCTATTTACTGATATAAACATTTCATAGTGTAATCTCAAACCTTTTGTGGGATCTGCCCGAGCGCTGAAGCGATGGTGCTGGCTCTCTCTTTGGGGAGGTCCTTCACTACGGAGCCCAGGGAAAACACCACAATGCCATCATCTCCTGAGCTCTGAACAAACTCCTCCATCTCCTACAAAACCAAGACGCAAAGACAGATACATGTTAGTCCTCTGATTGTGTTTCATGAAAAAGCTGATTTAAATGCAACAGAAGTGTGTAGTGACATCCAGCTGCAGCACCACAGACCAAGCCTCAGGTTGGGCCAAGGTTAGCCAACTGGCTGATAAGCTTCCTAAGTTAGCTCTAAACTTTTGTACATTCAATCATTTTCCCAATTATGTGTAAATTCTTAATGTGTAACTCAAGCATGCAAACATTCAAAAGACATCCTGACAGCTATAACGACGACCTTACTTTTGGAAGTGGCTTTGCAGGCTTGCAGTGCAGCCCCCCGACAAATTTGAAGTTCGGCAGGAACGGTCGTGGATACTCAAAGTCCCAGTAAGTTCTGACTAACCAGATGTCTGTTTTTCCCAAAGTGTCACACAGCGTTGTGGGTTTGCCTATGAAGTAAAGGAGCAAAGATGATTTCACCAAGAGTGCATTAACAACTCATTCAGGATGTCACAAAAAAAATACCCAGACGAACATCTAAAGAACTGCAGGCCTCACTTGCCTCAGTTAAGGTCAATGTAAACAATTCCCCAATAAGAAAGACACTGGCATCCAAGGGAGACTTGCAGGGTGCAAACCACTGCTGACCAAAAAGGACACAAAGGCCCTTGCATTTCTTGCATTTGCCAAAAACATCTAGGTTGAAGTTGATTATCACAGGCTGTTCAGGATGACTGTGGGAAAAGTGCCTTGTAACTTGGCAAAGTAAGAACCTGACCAGTTGACCCAATTTTGTTCACACCATGTCAGATAACGCTGTGATTAGATATGAAAAAGGCTCCAATTTTGACACAGACTTGAAAAAAATAACATTACCAATCACAGGAGCTGGACTTCAGCTGAAGTTACTGGCTGGTATATTAAGGGTTTGATTAAGCCTAGTCCTGGACTACATTCTTCTTTCAGTAGATAATCCCCATACATAATGCTGTGTAGTCTAAGACCAGGCTTAATCTCTATCCAGTAAAAATGACATTATGTGTCAGCGCCTACAAAAACACACATGTTCTTTCTTTCTGCGATTTAGGTATATTAAGGTCATTCATATAGTTGACCCAGATGAGGGCACTGAGGTGTCGGTTGGTGCTCATGGTTTCTCAGACCTTTTAACAATGTGTGAAATAATTAAGGTTTAAATCACTGCAGGCATCTGTAAAATACAAACTTACTTGCAAAAAGACAAGAGGCCTTGGTGCTGCCTTACCCGTAATGTTGGTGTAATACTTATCAAACGTGAACATCACTTGCAGTCTCAATAATGCTGTGACAGCAACATACAACAGCACGTTCTCCACCCGCTCCATGAAGTTCATGTGGTCAGTGAGATGTCCTTGGCTGGCAACAGCGGGCACATACGACGGTGGTGTTGGCAACTGACCGCACCGTCTCTCCATACCATACGCCGCAGTCAGTCTTATAGACATCACCTGGGGGAGGCCGAGGGTCTCTGCCAACAGATCACTGCATGGCATCATAGGATCGTACAGCAGTACATCAAAGTGTGACTCCCTGAGTGAAGCTATGAGCTCCTGATTGAGCATCATTCCCTCACATACTGCTCCGAGATATTTCTCATATTCAGACATCACGTTCATCACCTCCCAAAACCACGACAAAGTCCGAATCCCGGTGACGTCCTGATTCATCCAAATGTTAATGAAGTTTTGCCACATGTTCTCTGCATCTTGTTTTTCCATGCTGGTCTTAAAAACAATGTATTTGAGGTTCTGCTTTTGCGTGTAGTTGACCGAAGCTGACGAAGTGTGGGAAAGAACAGTCACACTGTGATTCCGAGCGACCAGCTCATCCACGATTACGCGCATGTTGTGCCAGTGGCTGAATTCACCAGGAAGAACCAGTATGTTACCACTGAGAGTCATTTCAGACCCGCTCAGTATCAAAGCTACCAACGGGAGAAGATGTCTGTACATCATGGTAGCAAACTAACTGACAGCTCGACTACTTGTTGGCTCCACCGTTCAGCTCACACAGCCCTGACAACCTCAAAGCAGGAAAGGTTTAGGGACTGGGTCAAACGGAGCGGGGCGGAGCGGTAAACCTAGGTTGATACTGCATATTCAGCTGATGTCCGTGTTTCGGTGTTGGACTCTTTCAAACGTCTTTTCAAAGTCCTCTAGTGTATGGTTAGCATAACGTTAGTGTCTGATTAGCATTATCTGAGGTAAAGAAGTGCATCTGTGTGTGGTGTGAATGGTCTCCAAGCTGGAAGAGGTAACATTTAAAAATATCATCTGTTTTTAATATTACTGATTTATGTTTAAATGTTTTTTTTTTTTTTCGAAGAGACAGCGATCGCCCAAATCTAGATGTTAGCTTATGTTATCTAACCTCAGCTCGCAAATGTAAGTTCGCATTAGCCTTAGCTGCGGTTAACAAGCAGTAGTGCCAGAGAACTTGTAGAGAGGAGAATTACCACTCTGCAATGTCCTACGGGTTTTTCAGACGCTAGAGGGCGCACCTGAGTGAGTCCAAAATGAATGGATTGATATGGAGCATTTGAGCAAAATCACAGTCTATAAATGCTTAAACATTTTTAATAGCATAAAACATAAAACGGTAACAGCATAATACATTTTAACACCGCTGTTATATTTTTAAGAGCTTTTAAACTCGAGTTATAGGAGTTTAGAACGGCGCCTCATGTGTATCCATGACGTCAGTGAGGGCTAACAGCCAATGAGCTGCTCCGCTCGCCAATCATTCACAACGCTCTAGCAGTAATGCCCGCCTCCTGCTGCCCAAAACCCGTTTGCTGTAGAAAAAGGAAATATATAGGTAACTTTTTGTTTTTAGCCGTTGAGCGCTGTTTACTCCCATTCATTTAGGACTCACTCACGGGCGCCCTCTGCTGTTTGGCAGTCCTGTTTTTGATATAACGGGGGAATAGGAAGCGGCCACGCTCCTCATAAACCGGCTCTGGTAGTGCTTGGCAGAAACCATCAGTGTCAGCTTGAAGATTTAACGTTGCTGTCCTGATAATTCTATATTAGTTACATAACCTCTCATTTACAAGGTAAAGCCATAAAAATACAGGTGAGCTCCACACAGTGATGTGTTCTGTTAGGTTCCGACGTTGTTTGTTAACAGTTAACTTGTTGGCTAGCTCACAGCTCTTAAGCGGTTAGGCCTATATAATGACAAGAAAGCTTGCCAGCAGTTCATTTCGAGAGTGAATGTAAAATGAGGTCGGCTCATACCTTATCACAGCAACAGTAAGGTCATATATTCAACACATACTAAAAGGTTGTTTTTCCTGATCTGTCCCTGAAAACCTTCACACGCTCATTCATTCTCTTCATTCTAGATGCTTTTCTCCTCTGTCTACAAACAGGGGTTAAAATTTCACACAACTACTGAAAAATTATGACCAGGAATATTTAATACATCCGTTTCATGTTCTGGGGAAACACAACAAAGCCACACCATTTTCTTTAATAAAAAGAGAGAAGACTGAAAGCAGTGGTTGATACAATACTGTAGCTTGACTGTAGGTTTGATAGGTGGACTGTAGACCTCTTCTGTATATCTGTTAAAGTACCATTTCTAAAAAATCAAGAAATGCTGGAAGATAATATATTTCCTGAATCCCACAGGATGATGTATATTGAATCTGCATGCTTCATTTTACCCTGATTTTATGGCCTCTAGTTTCTACAAATCATGTTCTTTCCTACAGTTTGTGATGTCACTTACATTTGAACCTTTTACTGTGGCTCAGTTATGTAGTCATGTGTAGTTCTTTCTTTTATAAAGTGACTTATTTCTTTTGTTTTTGTCCAGTTTGCAGAATATTCCTGTCCTGTTGATCTGCTGCACCCCTCATTGTTGAAGACTGTTGAATGCTCCTTATCAGCACATCCTTGAACAATCACTATTCATTTTTATGGACTTGAAGCTGCTCTCTTTAAGTTTTGACAGTGAAAATCCATGTGGAAGTTTTCTGTAAACATGTATTCTGTAAACATGTATGTGAAATATTACTACCTGGATATGAATAAATAGCTACAGACATTACACTGCAGTCCAGAGGATGTCTGAAGATGCTTGCAGAATGCTTTGGTGAAAAAAACATACATATAGATAAATGTGGCGATTTGATAAACATTTTGTGTCTTTTCATTTGTATTGAATCTAGATTACTGGAAAAGCACACATAATAATAATAATAATAATAATAATAATAATAATGTTAGTACGGACAATAATTATAATAATAATAATAATAATAATAATGATAATAATAATAATAATAATGTTATTATTATTATTATTATTATTATTATTATTATCCGTTCATTCATTCATTCTTTTGCTAAAATGTTGAGATGATGCCTCAGCAGGTGTTGCTGACCTACCACCCACATTGGGTGCACAAAATGTCAGTAGTCTGCTCTTTTATGTGTTTTACCTTGTAGAATATTGAATTTTTGAACACTTGGTTTAGTGTGGAGCCAGGTACGTCATTCTCTTTCCACCCATTTAAGTTCTTCTAGAATATACATCCACATTAGTGATCAGGGACAGCATACTTAATTTTCATTTTAAAATGGCATTCTTCATAAGACTCAGGCTATAGGCCATCTATAGGGAGCTGCGGTGAAAACCGTCCAAACCAGCGAGGTATCATTTGAAAATCAGGTGCCTGCTGTAGCTGTGAGACTAACTGGGGTCCAAATTTGGTATTTCCAGTTCTGAAAGAGAGGACATATTCACGAAACGTGGATAACACGCGTATTTCGGGCTTCTTTCTACAGCGTAGTTGCTCATTTGGACCCCCTGATGATGTCTCTACTATAAATGTCTAACAAAGCCAAACTGGTAGTTTGTCCTGGTGAAATGCATGGTGAAATGGTTCTTTATTGATGGAGAATGTGTTATTTGTAGTTTTACATAGCATCAGAAAGGGTCTATATAGAACCATATAAAACACGTTCTTCTTTAATCTGAAAAAAAATATTTCACCATGCAAGGAACTATATAAGCACGCAAATCGTTCTTTGAGTGTTCATGGTTCTATATGTAACCACTGTCTTTACTAAAGGACCCTTGGAGAACCATCTTTTTGAATGTACATTACTTGAGTCAGTCAAAATCTTTTTTTACCTGTATTGATATACTTACTCAGTGCGTCAAATGCAACGTCTTTTCTTTCATTTATTTATTTATTAATAAATGTATTTATTAATAAATTTATTTATTGATTTATTTATCATTCCTCATTTTTTGTTGGCCATTTGATTTTGTTAGAATTAAAAAGAAAAAAAGGTATTTTTCAAGCGGTTGCTTACGAAATGCAGGCTCCTTAAAGCTGTTAATGTTTTACGTTTTAAACACCACAAACGGCACCTGCTACAGCGATTCTGGCTGCTTTGTTCAAATGTACTAAGCAAAATGAAAAGATGGGGAACTTTGACAGAATAGTATGATTGTAGTTTGTTCTCTGTTTCACCACGACTTAGAAAACTTAAGACTTAGAGGACTTTCTTTCATCTGTCACCTGCTGTGCTCGTATGACACTGTAAGTAATCGTTTATTTCAGTTTTTCTATTTATAACTGTTAACTTAGTAGCTCATCGCTCGGCTGTGTAACACTCATCACTAACCGGTGTTCTGGCGAATTGTGCTACCTGGCCAAAATGTCCAACCGTGGCACATATTTACACTGTAAAAATCTGTAGGTAGGATATTTTAATAGCTTAAATCACACAAAGCTTCTTATTCTCCATCTTCTTGTTCAATTTTCCGCCTTTTTCAAACGTCCCACCTTAAATGGGGCAGCAGTTACATTCTGGTCCCTCAGGCCACTGAGGCATTCAGGCGCATTTAAGGTGGAACTCCTTATCAGGAAATATTACCAGCATTAATAGAATAATAATGTCACTGAGCGCTGTTTATTGCACTGTTCACAAATCTTTTGATAGAACATCAATTGTAATTAATCTTTGGCTATTTCTTCTGTATGTTTAGCTATTTTCAATATTTTATGCATCCATGTAATGTATTAATAACTTCTCCCTACAGCAGTCGTATTTACAGTACATTAATATTACTATGTTTTCGTAATGAATGATAAAACGGATGTAGTTTATGTTCATTTGGCTTTAGGTGGTGATTCTGAATAAGTTGTAGGGAAGAAAAGAACAGAGAACAACCTCCCCACTGCTTCCAGTTACAATGCAAAGTTTGACTAAGACTATTATTATATTATAATATAATAATAAGTAATAATGTTCCAGGCTGTATATTATTTAATGTTATATTTCTCATAATATATAATAAAATGTAATATGATGTATTACTATGTATAATGTATAAGTCATGATAATTAAAATACAATTAACTACAAATGAATTTCTTTTTTTTTTGATATTTAAAAAAAAATCTTAATCTGGTCTTGGTCTTGTCTTGGATTCAACTACTTAATAGTGATGATGGCTTGGGATAAGTCATCAAAGGAAAATGCAGTCCAAAACTAAGCTTAATCCCTGACCGGGACACCAAACCTACACGTCCACATCAGGCAGGTTACTTATAATGCTACAGATTAATTGTGCTTGTAATGTTAAGAAACAAACACAATTTATACAGATTTTCTTTTTTATTCTTTTGAATTTGTCAAAATATTATGCTTAAATTTCTTTATGATTCTTCTACTATTCCTCCCATTTAAAAATTGAATTGTAATTATATTTTGTTCTGTTTCCCCAGTTTTTAGGTTTATCATCATTCAAGTTTCAACTATGCAGCAAAATTCATATTACAATTCACTATATTATATATAAGTAGAATGCCCTACGGAATCGAGAAAATGTGTTTTTTTTTTAACATTTGCATAATCAAAATTTTATTTTAAGAAAACACTTTACAAGATATGGATAAAATCCCTTTCAGTGCTGTTGAGAACAGTGAAAATGATTTTTAAAACGTGTTTTGATTACACTGTGATGAAATCACTGAGAATCTGGGACTAAACAGTGAAAAACCTTAGGAATGTATGCTGTACACTTACAGTACAATACAGCACATTAGACTTTAAACCCATGTGAAAATATCACAGTAGTCATTAACACAGTGATGTTCATTCAGTTCTTCACTCTTTTTTGCTCTTTGCTCAGGTCCTTCTGCAACATTTACGGAAGAGCCAAGCACACGATTTCACAAAGATGAACGTGACCAGAGCGACTATGGACAGCAAAAAGGCAGCGACGTCCAGGCAGTGGTACTGGTACCAAGTGAGGTCATGGGCGGCCACCCTGAGGTGCTTGGCCCCCTTGTAGTGCATCACAAACTCGATCCAGAAGACAGCCTGGTCCAGCGGCTTCATCGGCTGATCATGGTGGATTCGGGAAAGCCTCATGATGCTCTCTTTGTACCTGACAGAAGAAATAAAGGTAAACTGTGTTTGTCAAGTGGACAGAGAGGTATTAAGCTTTTTGCACCAGTTTTAAGGGCAAATCCGATGCGTTTTGACAAGGTATTATCAGGCAAAAAATGGGTGGAGCTATTGAAAGTGCAGTTGGTTACTCTGCTTGGCCAACTTATTATACAAATTAGCAGTAGTGTCTCAAAGACATGCTGTTGAAACCCTTCCTTTAAAAACAGGAGACAAGCTATTTGCTGAATTTAAGATATTGTTAAAAAGATAAAAAAAAAAACCAAATGTGGCCTGTGCAAAAAACAAACTTAAATATAGGATTTTTTTTGTGTTATTGCAGAATTTCTATTTATTCACTGAGGTTAGCATATATTTTGTAGTGCCTTTACTTTTGCACAGGCTACATTTTTATAATTTGTTACATTATATATATATATATATATATATATATATATATAATGTTACATTCAGCAAATAACTAGTGCTTATGCATTAAAATGTACAGAAAGGTGTTCTCTGTAGAGGATGTGTTAACATATTTTCATTTAGAAAATGAACAAAATGTCAGTTAAGCAGGGTGGCCCACATTTTTGCTTACAAATTGCCAATCAAAAATGGGGTTAAACATATATATTGTATTGCTGACGAGATAAAAGACTTTTATAGGCTTTAACCCCTGTTTTTTTTTCCATTTCACTGCATTTTTCAATTTTTGGAATATCATTTCATTTGCCTCCAACATGAGGGAGTTACAGTACTTTTAAGTTTACACTAAGCTTACACTGAGCACCCTCAAAATAATCGTTGTCTTAAAGCAACTGTGTTAATTAATCTCAGACCTTTTGTGGGATCTGCCCGAGTGCTGAAGCGATGATGTTGGCTCTCTCTCTGGGGATTTTCTTCACTGTGGAGCCCAGGGAAAACACCACAATGCCATCATCCCCTGAGCTCTGAACAAACTCCTCCATCTCCTACAAAACCAAGATGCAAAGACAGAAGCTCATTTAAATGCAACAGAAGTCAGGCTTAACATCCATCTACAGCCTCACAGACCAAGTCTCAGGCTGGGCCGAGGTTAGCCAACTGGCTGTCAAGCTACTTAAGTTAGCTAGCTGGATAAAGAGTTGGAGAGGCAGCTCACATTAATGTTGGGTTAAAAGTTTGTCAGGACAAATAAATTGTTTCAGAAGGGGAGAAAATCAATCCTGTCCCAGACTGCTTACTTACTTTCTGCAGTACCAGCAGATAAACTCCTGTAGTAAGGTTTAGGGTCAGGCACTAAACATTCTGTGTCAATTCTTAATGCAGACTCAAGCATGCAAACATTCAAAAGACATCCTGAAAGCCATAACGGTGACCTAACTGTTGGAAGTGGCTTTGCAGGCTTGCAGTGCAGCCCCCCGACAAATCTGAAGTTCGGCAGTAACAGTCGTGGATACTCAAGGTCCCGGTAAGTTCTGACTAACCAAATGTCTGCTTTTCCCAAAGTGTCACACACTGTTGTGGGTTTGCCTATGAAGTAAAGGAGCAATGATGTGATACTATTTCAGTTTCCTGCATAGTTACTTAAATCTTTCACCTAAAACTTTGAGCTAAAGTGGAGCTATTTTTTCTGCTTCTATTTTCCTAATACAATAGAAGACAGCAGCAAATGATGCTGAAATTCAGACTTTTTCAGCACCAACATGAGCTATGAGCACAAAGTAAAACAAAGTAAAACATTACAAAAGACTTTGCTGCTCCCTTACCCATAACTCTGATGTGTGAACAACGTATAACAGGTCATTCTCTAACCGCTCTATGAAATCCGTGTCATCAGGGAGACTGTGGACACATATGATGGTGATAGCATAATGGGATCATACGGACGTGCATCAAAGTGTGATTCCATAAGTAAAGCTATGAGCTGTTAATTAAGCTGAATTCCTTCACATTCTGCCTCAAAATAACTCTCCAACTCAGACATCAGCTTCCAAAACAACGTCAAAGTTTGAATCCCAGTGACAGGGTGGGTGCAGGTTCTCCAGACTGTTTGCTCCACTCATCGCCTCTAATCAGTCCATGAACTTGCACAATCCTAAGTACAATGTTGTGGGAAAGTTTTTGCCCCCTTCCCAATTTCTTATGTTTTTGCATATTTGTCACACTTGAATGTTTCAGATCCTCAAACTACTTTTAATATTTGACAAAGAAACCCAAGTAAACACAAAATGCTGTGTTTAAACGATGATTTCATTTACTGAAGGACAATTTCTGTTCTGTCCTACCTCGTCCTATGTGAAATACTAATTACTCCCTTAGCTACTAAATCAAACATTTAACCAAATTCAATTGACTATTGAGTTTAGTTTCACTACCCACACCCAGGCATGATTACTGTCAGACCTGTTTAATCGAAACATCACTTAAATAGAACCTGTCTGGCAATGTGAAGCTGGCTACAGGGTCTCAAAAAGCAGCACGAGATGCCACATGCTAATTTAAAAAAAAGTTATTGAAATATGCAAGTCTGGAAAGGGTTAAAAAAAAACATTACTAAGGCTCCGGAACTCCAGCGAACCACAGTGAGAAGAAGAATATCCGCCTGTCAGTTTGTGACCTAACGCTCAAGCGCAATTGGGTTATGCAGCAGGACAATGATCCGAAGCATACAAGGAAGTCCACCTCTGAATGGCTCAAAAAAAAAAAAATTAATTAAGTTTTTGGAGTGGCCAAGTCAAAGTCCTGACTTGCCTTCCATTGAGATGCTGTGGCAAGACCTTAAACGGGCAGTTTGTGCTTGAAAACCCTCTAGTGTAGCTGAATTAAAACAATTCTACAAAGGAGAGTGGGCCACATTTCCCCCACAGCGATGTAAAAGACTCATTGCAAGTTATCGCAAGCGTTTGATTGCAGTTGTTACTGCCAAGGGTGGCACAACCAGTTATTAGTTTTAGGGGGCAATTACTTTTGACACGGGTGATAATTGTTGTGAATAAGTCTTTATTTTCAATGAATGGAATCATCATTTAAAAGTCACATTTTGTGTTTACTCATGTTGATTTCATATTAAAATTTGTTGGATGATCTGAAACATTTAAATGTGACAAATTAGCAAAAATAGATTACATCAGGTGAGGGGCAAATACTTTTTCACAGCACTAAATGAGCTGATTAGTTTTCCAATCACTGTTCTAACATGGAAATTGACAGGTGAGACGCCCCTGCTCCTAAATAAATGTAAAATTAGAGATAGACAGCGATTACCAAAAAAAAAAGAGTAATATTTATTTTAAAAAATGAATTATAAGTGCTTATTCTCTTAGTTTCAGCTCACTTTTCTTTTTGGGAAAAAATAAATAAATAAACAATAAATGAAATTGTGTGATCAATACCAAAATCCGAGGTAACAGGCGGCAATGACCATATAAGGCTTGTGGATTCAATGTGTTATACAGTATTATCCTTTCTCTTCTTTCAAAATAAGACCAAATTCAAACAGCAAACAAAACTGTTAGAATTAACCATAAAGAGCTTACAAGTTAGAAAAAAAAACTCTCTTTCACCCTTTTAGCTTGTAAAATGATTTGGATTAAAAAAGGGAATGAACAGTTAACTACTCTTCTTAACAGTTATACAACCAATAAGCAGAAATATCACCCTTTTTACTTCTATGCAACAGAGCAAGTGATTCAGTCTGTGATAATAAGTAGAAAATGGAACTCAATTACCAGTCTGAAGCAGAGGGATTGACGCTGGAAGATGTGTTTGAATGGCAGGGAGATCTCCTCCTAAACAGAGCTGAAGAGAGTGCGGCGCATCACATGTCCGCGTTATGCTCACAGAAAACGGCGCCTATGGAGGACCAGATTTGCCACAATGAAAAATAAATAAAATTAAAAATAAATGACTTAGTAAATTAATATATGAAGTAGAATTGCAAAGAATAATGATGATAAATCTAAAAATAAATATACATAACAATTAATATATTAATAAATCTTACATAAATTAACGTCTGCATTTATTTATATGTCTATTTAGTAATTTCCCCTTCTCACTATTGTTTGTAAATTTCGTAATTTATTTTATTAATTTATTCCATAACTATTAATTTCTATATTTATTTATTGCTCTATTTATTTCTGTATTTCCTTGTCCTTATGCTAATAAAGAGGCTGTCAGTCAATGATGTCACAGAGTCTTAATATTCCTGTTGGTTGATCGATGTCAGATTCTGGAGATCGATAGTACACGCCTTGCTCTCTCAGCGGTAACTAAGGACGAGACAGTACAGTAGTGGCTGTTTACAGCAGCAGACAGTCAGAGATCTGAGAGTCTCGGCTGATCTGGCTGAAAATGCAGGTCCGGATTATTCACTCTTTCCTGTGGAGGCTGCGGGGACAGTTTGGTTCATTTTGCTGCCTCTGCCGATACAGAGGTCGACCAGTAGTGTTCAAAGCTGTGGAGGAGGAGATTCATCGTCTTTTTCTGCAACATTCAGATCGCTCAGACATTTGGACACCCTTCTCACACACTGCCTGTGGAGTATCAGCAGCTTTGTCTGTCTGGGGCACTGCAGCTCTTTATGGAGTGAAAGAACAGTTTAATCAGCTCTTCTCCTCCTGGTCTTGATCGCTAAGCCTGAACGTGAAAAACACGCCCCCTCATTATCATATAAAAGAAGAAATACAGAAATAAATAAATGAATTAATGAAAAAATAAATAAATGAATACATGAATCAATGAATAAAGTGAACAATTGTTAAAAATATAGATATGGAAAAAATGTAAAAATGGCATTAATAAAACAAAATAAATAATACAGAAATAAATAAACTGAGAAATATATAACTGCAGAAAAAGGAAATAGGTGTATAATTACAATCACAATAAGCAATATATACTTTATTTGGGTTTTTATTTTTAAATTTTATTTATTTTTCAATTTGGCAAATCTGGTCCTCCGTAGGCGCCCGCTGCAACTCGCTTCTCTTTCAGTCCTAAGTAGCCACGCGC